TATGTTTTTGTTGATTTGAGAGAGAGAGAGAGACATTGCTAGGTTGGCTACTGCATGCCCTGTATTGGGGATCAAGCCCACAACCTGGGCATATGCCCTGACGGAAAATCAAACCAGCGACCCTTTGGTGCACGAAACAACGCTCAACCGAGCCACACCGGCCGGGGCTCAATCGTTTTTAATTTTAAAAATTGAGGCCTAACACGCTGTAGTAAAAAGCACCATGTGCATGATCTTAAGCAATAGCTCCATGCATGGTCGCCCCGGGGCCCCCTGACGGGCTCCCTCGTGGGCTGCTCAGTCAGTCCCCGCCACTGCGGCTAAGGCACATCACTGGCCGTGCTGAACACACAGTGTGCCATTTTCTGTGTGCTTGTTAGCTGTCTTTTTCTCAGCTCCGCAGGCTCCATCCATGTTGTGTGTGTCTTGCTGCTTATGATTATGACACTGTACGGAGGAACCACCATTGATCCACCCGTTCTCCTGTTGGCGGACACTCGGTTGTTCTCTGGATTTTTGTCAATTTGAATGAATCTTTTGTCAACATCCCCATACCAGTCTTTTCGTGAACATGAGCTCTCTGGTGTGTACTCAGGGGTAGGGTTACTGGGTCAGAGGGCAAGGCTATTCACTGAAGAATACATTTTCATTGTTGCGTGAGCTCCTTTCACTGCCACTTCCTCTGGCTGCCTTTGGGCTGCTTGCATCTGTATTGCCTCATTTTGTCCTCACCAAACCCCGGGGATGCTGGCCGAGCAAATATTCTTAGCAAATATTATTACCACCCTGACGTGGAACTGCCACCTGCAGGGGTTCAAGGTTCAAGTTCAGAGGGGCTCAAAGCGCTGGAGAGGAGAGGGAAGCGCCGAACGCTGAGATTACAAAATTGTTTCCTATGGGAAATGGCAGCCGAGTTCCAAAAGAAGTCTCACACACTTTTGGATCAGAACCTGCTGGGAGCTGCCAGCAAGAAAGAGGCTGGCAAGAGAGGGAGGGTCAGCTGGGCCCTTGGCAGGCGAAGAGGGCTTTACAAGTTCCATGTTACATTGTTCCTCCTCTTGAGGTTGGACAATGGTATTGCGGTCATGTTTTTAATAAAGAATTCTTATCTTTTAGAGATTTGTACTCAAGAGCTTGTGGACAAAACCGGTAGGATTTCTGGGTTTGCTTTAAAGGCATTAGGGGGGCAGGGGCACAAACACCCTGGCCCTTGCTCCATAGCTGTTGAACCTAAGTTATGGTGATTAACTATTAATATACTATTCTCATTAATGTTTAATGTTTAAATTTTTCCACACGAAGATATTTTTAGAGGAAATCTCTTAGTGATAATAAAAATATTAATATAGGCATTAAAAATTTTTTACGGTTTCCTTATAGCCACAAGAAGCAGCTGCTCAAGTATGTTTCACACTGGGGAAGAATTTGAGAGAGAGAGAAAAAAAAGTTTAGGAAAGACTTCTTTAGTTTCTGAGGCTGACTGGGACGTTTTGGTGTGGGGAGAGGGAACTCAGATGGGACCAGGCTCACAGCTCCCCAGGGGCCCAGTTCCACTGCTCAGACAAGCAGGGGGGTGGGGGGGACTGCAATGGTGCCTCCAGGGTGCGGCTGGAATTGCCGCCGCCCCAAGCTGGGCCACTGGGGCACAGGTGAGCATGGCGCCCTGTGGGCGCGGCCCAGCTCTGACCCACCGCTCATCGCTCATCGGCCTGCAGGTGGCTACGAGGCAGCGCTCAGGGAGGGGTGCGATCAAGGCGGAAGAGCCCTGGGAACAGACCGGGCACCAGGCCAATCCCAGTGGGGCCCATGATAGAGCGTGGAGCGAGGGAGAAAATGACCTTGGGCCGGGACCTGCAGGCAGCCGGGTTTCCAGGGAGAGGAAGGAAGGGCATTTGAAATGAGGGGGGCAGTCCAGCTTCCCAGGCACAAACCTGGAAGGCCCAAGTGCAGGGAGAACCAGGCAGGTGACCCTGGAGAGGCAGATGCCGCGTAGCTGAGTGTAGCTGGTGCGCTCTGGCCCAGATCACCTGCCTTCTTTGGGCA